GACAGAGATTGGAGTGACACATCTAAAAGCCATGGATTGCTTGGAACTGCCAGAAGCTACAATTCTCTTGCAGAACCTGAGTTTTGGACCCCTGGCTTCTAGAACATGAACTTCCATCATCTGAATCCTGTGTTCAGGCAGCAGTAGTAAACTATTACAACTTCCATGATCCAAATTTTAAGAAATCGATTTCTAAGAAATTGGTATCCCTAAACATCTTATTTTTCTAACAATACAAATAATCAGGTCAAAACATTGCATTCAAAGTTTGATAGCTGAACTTATAGATGCCTTTGCCAAAACCTCTCTCCTTAAAAGTCAAACCTGAATAAAATGCAAACAGCTCATTTCCAATAATAATCAAACATTACAAGTACACAGAGCTGCTAGAGAAAATGATCCCAATCATATTTCCTTATAAAGAAAAAATAAATTGTAGTATAAATATGCCCCGAATATTAGGGGACAACTTACACACTTATGTAACAGATAATGCATTATTAATTGGCAGTTTAAATTTAAGCAAGCAATCTGCATTTTTATTTATTAACTATGGAATCTTATCCCTTCCATAGAGAGAGACTACACTTCTCAAAGTCACCCAGCTCACAGAATGTGGGACTCGACTCTGAACTTGTGTGTCTCAGCTCCCCCAAGATCATGTACATTAAAGTGCCCTGGATGGCCTACACCAGAGATGACAGAACTCATACAAAGAAGGGAAGACATCAAGAAACCAACTGCTTGTAGTCCTGGCAAACACTAACACAAACACAAAGGCAATGGTGAGCTCCGACTGCTGAGCGTGCTCCTTAGTGTCTATTGCATTTCAGGGAGGATCCTGAAACCACATCCCACTGTTCTCTGCAGTAGCGAGCGGGGGTGGGACGTGAGAGTTATGGACATGAGGCAGTGGGTGCAGGACATTTTGGGTTTGCTGGGTAGTTTCTTCTAACAGCTATGTAAGGGTTTCGTTTATGGGCATCTTTCTCCAGCCTCCACATGGCTTCCAGGCAACCTACATCTGAAAGCCTTAGTCATTTTTGCTTTCAATTGATCCTAAGCCAAAATGGAGATTGACTTGAATGTTCCCTCTTACATTGTTCCCCCTGCTCCATTTTCACAGCCATTACCTTAGCTCAAGCCTTCGAACTTATACTCCCTTTTGAATTAAGTACGTTCTAAACTTTCTTCTCAATTCCAATGATACATTTTTATCTAACTCTCCAACTAATGCCACTCAAAGGTTTAACATATTTCCTATTCACAGATTGGTGGAAGACATAACACTCAGGTTGTTTTTTTTTTCCATTTAAATATCTCTTAGATACACCAAATAAAAAGATCCACAGGTATTAGGTTTTCTGGTGACGATTTTTTGTTACTATCACAAAATGCCTGACACAAGCTACTTGTGGTTTATTGCATAGCTTTTGCAACAGAAAGATTGAATGGTGCAGGCTCTGGCAAAGGTCTCATGACAAGTTACAGAGGACACATAGAGGAAAAAACTGCTGGTGAGCAAAGAGGCAGAGAAAGCTGGAGACTAGGGTCCCACGGTCCACCAAGAGACCTCTTAACAGGTCCCACCTCCTGAAGTCTCCCCCACACTCCAACAGTGCCACCCTGTGGACAAAGTTATGAGGGTCTCCAGGGAACACTCAATATCTGGATCTTAACATTGGGCAGATAACAAAATAGTGAAACTGGTTGGAGTTGACCTTTTAAACACATCAGAATATTCTTCACTCTCAAAAAGATTTTCTTTCCTATTTTTTTTAAGTCCTTGGTCCTCTTCTTCTGCTGCTAGACATGCCATGGAGAATAACTTGCCAGTGTGAGCAGCATAGTGGCTCACGTACTGTGAGGTCCAGGTCACAGGGTAGGACATGGCAAGCTTCTGCATACCCTGACCTGAAGGTAGAAGCAGCATAACGCAGATACCCAGTGTTACACAATTCTCTACTGTAAAGTTGCTGTTGTTCTTCAGAAAGAAAATAATCCATGGCTGCCTTATGCATAAAACCTTGGAAATGCTGCAAATGTTGTTTCCCATCATCATTCTGCAATATAATTTTAGCGACCATTGAGGACTTTCTGCCTGCGATTATCAGTGTGATGCTTGCTAAAACCTAGTTTTTTTTTTCTGTGTCCCTGTTCCTGCATTCACTCCTTCTAATTCCATCACAAGGGAAAATACGTCTGTCTCACATTATTTTTATGGATTCCATTGTTTATTGATTGGCATGACCTTCCCCTCACAGATACTTATTTCATTCAAAAGGTTGTAAGCTGTTACGGCCATTGGTCATTTTGTTACTGAGACTGTCCTGGCTGTCGCTCAGGAGCTCCTGGAGGTGGCGCTGTGTTGTTTTGAGATTCTGCCTTCAAAGTTTTTCTTTGCAGCACTGTAAACTGTTTCAGCCCATCTTGTACTTCCTCTGCCACAGGTCAGATATCACATCTCTAGGATTTTTGAATACATTTGGTGCAGATATTTTATTTAGAAATTAGTCCTGAGGCCTGAATGTGCTGCTACTCTGGCATTACACCTTTGTCAGTGTTGCCAAATCCTCTTGGGTGATGGACCTACAAATCCCCCTCTCACTTGCACTCACTGTCTGTCTCTCTCCTTCTCTTGCACCTTTCCAATAATTTTTACATATATTAAAAGCGATTGGATCTTCTTTTCCTTTTTTAAAAGATGTATTTATTCTTATTGGAAAGGCAGATTTACAGAGAGGAGAAGAGACAGAAGTTCTTCTGTTTGCCAGTTCGCTCCCCAAGTAGCTGCAATGGTTGGAGCTGAGCTGATCTGAAGCCAGGAGCCAGGAGCTTCTTCCAGGTCTCCCACATGGGTGCAGGGTACCAAACCTTTGAGTCATTCTTGACTGCTTTCCCAAGCCACAGGCACACAGCTGGATGGCAAGTGGAGCAGCTGGCATACAAAGCGGTACCCACAGGGGATCCTGGTACATGCAAGGAAAGGATTTACCCATTGGCTCTTCTTTATATCCGTCTAACCCTACAGGTTCTCTGTTTCTCTATTTCTGGTTAAAAATATTTTATGGATATAAAGAGAACAGATTTCACATATATATGGATACAATTCAAAGAAAGCAATCCTACCTTCCCCTTCCCTCTTTCTCTCCCCAGGAGTAAGCAGTCTGGCTCTCTATCTGGAAGTAACTGATTTGCTAGTTACTAGCATGCAAATGAAGTAGTTACACAATAATCATGTTTCAGTGTACGACATGTGTCTTAGATTAGCTCTTTCATTATTTCCATCTCCCACATTCAGGCTGACTTTATTCACTACCCATTCTGGCATGCTGGGATCTGGGATGGATCAAGAGAACTACTGAACCCCATTTACTGCTAACGTTTAAGCCCTTTCTGTCTCCTCCTTGCTGCCTGTTCTCACCTACATTCTGTGTCCCCAGCCTAGTCAGGGTGTCTTCATGTCTTGCACCCCTGAACAGATAAGACATAATGTCTGATATCCCTCTGTTGTGACATGAGGTATGGCATACTGTTGACCCTCTCTTGCACTTTGCTTAAGTAAACTTAGTGATACATACTGTTAATTGTCCTACAAAATTTTTAGCAATTATATCTGAAGCTATGTAGTATTCTTCCACATAGATATGCCATAACTTATTCACCAAATCTGCAATTTATTGATATTTACTCATTTCAACTATTTTATAATTACAAACAATATTACAATAAATATTTGTATGTCTCAAAATATTTAAAATTTTGAGGGGTGTATATTCAGGAGTGAACTTGTGATCTGTCACCTGTTCAACTTACATTTTGGTTCGAAAGATGCCATACAATTGAGAACTGATTAAATACTGAGTGCTACACAAATAAAACAAAAACATTGCTATTAGCACTTTTCCCTTTTTCTAATCCCATTGTAACATTTTTTGAGACAGGCAGTTCAATTCAACAAACATTTGTCCTCAACTGCCAAAAGAGATGGCTAACTTTAAAAGCAGTCCCTACCTGTTTTAAATTCCAATATTTTCAACTACCTCCTCTTTCATTAAGGATATTCTGATACTTGTGAATTTTTAATGTAAACATAAGCATTATTTATATATTTTCTAGAAATAGTAAACCTTTGTTATCATACTAACTTATTTTCTTTATTTTATTCCTGTAGAGACAGGACACTGAAACTACAACTGTAGCTCTAATCTCCTTCATTCTACTCCATGACATGGATATCAAATAGGATGGGAGGAGAACAGGAACATGATGCCAAAGGCACTTCACAGGTGGTCTGACAGTCAGCTGGTACAGGCTTAGGAACTTGCCTTCCTTGTGGTGGGAGGCGTCCCACAGGACTGCCCTGGAACTGGGGGGTTCTCAAGTCCTGCCTCATGCACTGCTTGTATCTCATATGTGCAAATAATGCTGCATTATCTCTGTGTGCTCTTTCCGTTGGTCCTGCCTCTATTCTAAGAATCCCTCTCGTGGCCTAGGTTTATTCCGTTAGGAGTAGCTCTGGGCTTTGGAATCCAGGAACTGAATGGTACTTGCCTTGTCTTGCTCTGCACCATGACCTCCAAAGACAAGGCCACTGCAAAGAACGGCAACCAGCAACTACGAGGAAGATCATTTTGCAGGTTTAGTGAGATTAGTCCTGGATCCTGCAAATCCATGCGGCCAAAAGAATTTCTAGATCGCTCTTGATTTGACTTCAAATACATGTCTCATCTGTGTGTCCGTTATTAAAAACAAGAGTCTGATCTGTCAGCAGGTTAGAAGGGTCTTGCTTTCAGGGTTGGGAGTAGATTCACATTTTGGGTCTTCCATCAACTCCTCCTCCTCCTCTATTGTCAAGTGAGTCATGCACTATATTAAACCATGTCATTAGACCCTTAAAAATTATAATCTCTCTCTCTCTCGCTCACTTAAGCAAGCCTAAGGGAAAGAAAGTTCATCACAAATCCAGATGAAGCTAATAAAGGGTATTTTGTGCTTACCTCCCCGATCTCGGGCAGCTAAACTTTGACCCCTTCTTAATGTAATGTCCAACTGGTACATTCCTGGATCAGCTGTAGAGACATCTGCATTACTGGTTCCAGCAGTACTGATCTTCTGCAAAACAGGAAATGCACAGGACAGTCAGTCTACTATCTCTGCTCCACTGGCTCTAGGGTCAAACTGCATCCTTTACCTAAATTATAAGAACTAGTCAATAAAATAAGTCATCTTGTGAGTGAGCCCAATTTCATATATGTCCAGTCCACTGAAGGTTTTGAAATTTGCAAAAACATTCTAGATCCAAAATAAAAACAGGGCAGTTACAGAAATAACCAGCTTTAACTCTGACAAGGAAACATTTCCCAAGAGAGACGGCCACTAACAGAGTAACTCAGACACAAGAATACGATCAAGGCCGGGGAACAAAAAGCATGCAACAGCAACTCAGTTTCACAAAACTGAAAAAAGAGAATGATTTATTCAGTGACTCTGCTGACTTGCTTATCTATGCACAAGATCTCAGACTGATGGATTATACACTTCTGCTTCCAGCCCACCATAAAACATGATATAATTATTCAGGAATAAATTTGTCCTGCATTTTGACAACATTTGCAAGAAATAAATTCTGAGTGTTGCTCAATTGCTTCTGAGGCTTTCTACTGAATAAAATGTACACATGCTATTTCTAAATCCATCTTTGCAAGACTTCCTCTATGAAATATTTTTAGCAACAATACACTCAATAATTTACTAGGTGCTGAGTTACAAAGGCCATGAAAGGAAAACGAGCCTAAAAGCAATGCAAAAGAAACACACAGGAAAAAAAATGCATGGGTCATAATTTATAAATGCTGTTCCTTTGTACATAATAGAACCTTTCTTTACATTTTTTGAAATTAAATTATTATTTTTCTGGTTCAGAAAGCATGTCTCTTTTTCTGGGAATATATACAGACAATGTAAAATCACAAGATTTTCAATTCTTTTTTTTTTTTTTAGAAATAAAGTCACTTAACAGATACCATTGAGATATAACTCACATGCTATGAATTCACCTTTTAATGAAAGCAGCATTTTTTTCTTTTTAGTTCTTAAGACTGAGACAAGAAGTTTTCCTGTAGGAGCAATTATGACCAGAGGCAAGAAGCCCAAGATTGATTGATTGCCTGGACTCATCGTCTTTCTGCTGGCAGCAATAAACTGCATCTTCTTGTGATTTCCTTGTTTCTATAAATGGGAGCAAGTACCCCCCAGTTACCCGGGCAAGGAATCCCAGAGCCACCCTTGACTTCTTTGCCTCCTCCTCGCATCCAAATAGTTGTTCAATCTCATCCACTTCATTTCCATATTACTTCTCCCCATTGCCTTTTTTATGTTTTATTTCTTTTATCATTAATTTGATTCAGGCCTGCAAACCACTGATGCGCAAGAAACAAAATGATCCAGGTGCTCCACACGCCAGCAGCTAACAACTGAAACGATTGAAGGAATATCCTTGCATGGTTTGCAAAGTCTTACACAAACATGTACACACTCGTGTGTTGGCACCTGTGTCCTGTGGTTGGGTTTCAGACTTTCTTTTCAAGAAGGCTAGTATCGTATGTTATCTGTTATGTTAGCAGCATAGTTTACTTAAGTATTCTCCTACTGTAGACATTTGCATTGGTTTCAGTATTTGTCATGATCCAGTGCTTTCATTTCCCTTACAGAATGTATTTTACCCTGGGATGACATGGAATGGCCATCCCCCATTTCCGGGTACTAATGAAGCTGGGCTGCTGAGAGTGGCCCTTCCCCCTCTTTCCCCAGATACAAGAAGGAAAAAAAAAAGATTGCAAACAGTTGTCTCATCTACTTTTCCCCATTCCTTGACCCTCACCATTCTAATCGATGGGCCACATGGCCATGCATCCTTCCTAACTATGTAAACATCATCAAAAATAAATTATTAAAGGAGAACATATTTTTCAAAAAAAAAGCTCAAACACTTCACACTCCTATGAAAAACGTGCTAAAATGACCATTTCCCATCTACTCTTGCCAGCACAGAATCTACCAATTATAAAACCCATCCTCCAACACTATTTCCGGAACTATAAAGTGCACTGCAGCCAGTGTGAGGAACACGAGACAGACGCCACTCAATGGCTGCACAGACACCACCCTGGAAATACAGCCAGCCAACTAAGGTCGTCTACACCACTTCTTAGTGAAGGGTTTATTAAGTAAGGTTTAAATTTAGGTGTAGTATACATATGCTCAGGCCTAAGTGTGTTCTGAAACTTCCATTAGGTTCTTTTATTGCTTCCAAAGACATAAACTTACAAACATTAAGCTTAGATAGATTTACTACTTTCAAGAAAAGCGAAGGCAATGTGCATTGCCCTCCTTTGCACATCTCCTTGCAATGCCCTGATGCGTGAGCATCTTAGAGGCAGACACATCTCAAGGTTCACACAACGCGTTTCTAAGCCTTCGTTCTCTTCAGTGCTTCTTGGAGTTTAGAACATATAACCTACAGAGGGTTGGGTTTTAGAGCTTAACATGACCTAGATGAACAGACATATAGTTGGGGATCTGCATCAAAGCTGGCTAATGTGTGAGTTCTTTGTTTTCTCTCTTCTCCTTTGCTTTGTAGGGTACCTAATACGCTCTGGCCTCCCAATGTACTAAGAGTTTCCTTTTCCATCGAGGCAGCCATTACAAATTAATCAACACTGTTAAAGTGAAATTCTGTGCACTCAGCAGCTATAATAAACAAGAGATGCAACATAATGGAGATTAGTGCCATCAGTAGAGCATGAATAAAAGCCAACAACTATGACAAAGAATCTAAGAACATTTCCTAGAGATGACAGTGGCACAGATCTAAAAATATGGGTAAGACAATGGCAAGACTCAAAGAAGGGACCTATGTGTAAGTCCCATCTCTGCTCCAAATTCCAACTTCCTCAAGTGCGCTCCGAGATGCAGAAGTAGTTGAAATGGCAAACATGGGTGAGTACCTGAGACCCATATGGGAGACCTAGACTGAACTGCAGGCTCTGGATCCTGGCCCAACCCTGACAGCTGTGTGCACTTCGGGAGTCAATCAGTGGAAGCAAGAGCTTCTTGATTCTGTCTCGCAGCTTTTCCAATAAATAAAAAGAAGTAACAGGAAAAAAAAAACACATTTAATACTCTAAAGAAGGGAGTATCAGGGAAATCAACATGATTTCAGTAGTGGTCAATGATCAAATGGTGCCTCAGTGGGCTATGAGAAGTAAGGTAGAGTGATGGCAGGGTACCACCCTGAAGGGATTGAGTCTGTGGGTAGCAGGGAGACATCTTAGGCTTTGTAAGAGAGAAATATTAGAACCATGCTCTGGGCTAAGTGTTCAGCATGCAGACATCAACAAAAGCTGGATGTTTCTCTCTGCAGGGCAGACAAGAGTAGGGAAATCCTGCAGATTTAGGAATCATTTGTCAAGTTGCCAACAGCTCAGTTGAAGTTACAAGAACATAATCTCATTAGTGGTCACAGAAACAAAAGATGGATGTGAGATACTGAGGAGGCTCAGTCAACTGAATCTCCCCAGTGACAGGATGTGACCAATGTGGGGAATGGATGGGTGAGTCATAGGTTTGTTGAAGTCCGGCTCCTGGGAGGGTGGCCATGCTGGTGGTGGACAGCAGAAAAAAAAGGACAGCCAGCTGCAGGCCACTGTCATGTCAGGTCCCAAGGGCAGCCCTAGCTCTATACAAGAGAGCGGAGCAAGGACTGAAATAGATTTAGGGGGACATCTCCCCTTGGGCTCACTGCCAAAGACAGAAGCAAGACTTTCAAGAGACTTACACCAGAGGGCCTTGCAGATTTTTTATATTTATGCCATGAAGCACCTGGGTAATGCATACAGTATCAGCAAGAGGATCCATGGGACTCGCAACTGCGCTGTGTGGAAGGTCTTCTTGCTGAATGAGGAGAGCTTCTGCCAGGAGACAGAAAAACACTGACGCACTGGCAGGTGAGCGAGCCAAGTGGCTTTTCTGAGTTTTCCATTCTGGGCGAACATGGATCTATTCTGGGAACACAGGTCGTCAGTTCTCAGATCAACCGGAAGTAGCAATCCTACAGCTGTGCACAGCAGGGAGGAGCATGCCTAAGTCCTTGGGGATTTCCTTGGGTCCTCCCAGAACTGTCACACCCTGTGGATGACAGTCAGCTACACTGTTCTACACATTTTTCAGATTATTCATGGCAGGTCTAACTTTGTGCACCAATAGAACTTAAAAACCTAATGCACAGCTTTATTCAGTAGCCTAGTGACTAAGGTCCTAAGCTCGCATGTGCTAAGATCCCATATGGGTGCCACTCTGTGTACCAGAGACTCCCCAAGCAACCGCAATGGCTACAGCTGAGCTGATCCAAAGCCAGGAGCCTCTTCCGGGTCTCCCACATGGGTGCAGGGTCCTAAAGCTTTGAGCCATCCTCAACTGCTTTCCCAGCCTACAAGCAGGGGGCTGCATGGTAAGCAGGGCTGCCCATCAGCACCCATATGGGATCCCGTCATGTGCAAGAGGAGGACTTTAGCCACTAGGCTACCACATTAGGCCCAAAAATAAACTTTAAAAATAAATACATCATTACATTAACAAATTTAAAAAATACTGCCAGCTGCAGTAAAATCATAAAGCTCAGTGCTCATTTATGATCAAGCAAAACTCCTTAACAAATTAGAAGTAGGAGAAAACTTGAATAGTTTGTCCTCTGTAGACTATATATATATTTTTTATTATTTTTAAACTTGGATATAATTATGCTAAGTGAAATAAACCAGACAGACAAAGGTGCTTTCACTCATATAGTGAAGTTTAAAAAACTCTGAATGTTCAAGTTCCAAATATTTAACAACATTGTTAAGGAAATTAAGAGCTAGCATTGAAAGAATGTCGCGTGAGTCATTACCAATTTCTATTTTAGTATCTCTCCTACATTATATGATATTTAATATCACTATATAATAAACATTATATATTGAAACTTCCATCAACTGATATTTTTTAAGCGTATTTTCTAAGACAGAATTCAAAGCCAATGAGATTTTCACAGTTCAAGGAAGCTCGAAGAT